TTTCCTCCCTCCCTCCCCGCCCTCGCCCGCTCCTCCTTCCTCGACGGGACGCGGAATCCCCATCCCTTCCCACGGCCCGGGGACCCCACAAGGGACGAGCAAACCCCACGTCCGCCAGGCGTCTCCCTGCCGGCTCCCCGGCCCCGGATCCCGGCCCCGGCCCGTCTGATTCTCGTGAATGCCTCCCTTTCCTGCCTTCTCTCCTCGCTGTGCGCATCCAGCCCCTTCTGCGCATCGCGCGTCCGCAGGACTAACCCAAGAGCGTGACGCCCTCCCGACAACCAGGAGCCACCCAAGACTGGAGGGCTCCAAACCGGCAGAAGGTATCTGGCCAAAAGCACAGAACTAAGAATCCCGGCTGTGCTGAGGACAGGGGGTTTCTGAATTTGGAACATCACAGACGAACGCTCTCTCCGCGGGAAAACAACTTCGATCCTGCACAGCACCCCCAGCTCCTACGACGCAGCCCCCAGAGCAGACGGACGCGGGCAGAAGCCACCCCTGCTGCCTTCTCTGCAACTCTAGCTCCTGACCTCCGGTGATGCCAAGCCTCCTGCGGCTCTCCGGGACTTAAACCACAATCTGCCTCTCTCCTAAGGGCTCAGAAAGCCCACGCACGGTAGGTGAGGCCCTGGAATCGAGTTTAACTTAACTTGAGCATTTGCCCAACACCGTACCCAGCCTAGGCGTGGTGGCGAACGCCTGTCAGTCATCCCGGCACTCGGGAGGCTGAGGCAGGAGGGTCTCTGTGAGTTCGAGGCCAGCCTGGGCCAGAGTGAGGTCATCGTGGACAATACAGTGAGACCCTGCTTCAAACAAACTTAACTTGTCTTGCCTAGCATCTGTGCCAATCCTCCAGAACCTTCGGGAACACTCAGAAAGCTGCATTCGAGGTGAGCGCAGTCCAAGTATAAATAAGGACGTAGGGGCATTAGGGGCTGAGTGAACAATGCGGCTTTCTGGAGGAATGAGGAGTCGGCGTTCACAGTGGTTCCCGCAAGGCACCAGGGCTCAGCACCGGGTCCGGGGGGCAGACACGGAAGGATCCAGACGGGACCTTGCAACCGGCGTGGAGAAGCACGGACATCACAGCCGCGGTGCTCTGACTCCTGGAAAATCCCCAACGAACACAGGGACTTTCGAACTCGGGGCCCCCAAGACCGCGCACACAGAGCCACCGCGACAAATGTGGTGTTGTCCGAATTCCTCAGTCATTTCTCTACCCCACGCAGGGAGCTGCTCAGTCCCAGCTGGGGTTTGCTGTCACCAGGAAAGGAAAATCTGCCTGGCTGGGTTTTTGTCTCAATCTTCCCGGGTAGAGCAAACCACACAGAGGCCTCTGGTTCTCACGATGCAGACCGTCGGCTGCAAACAATAATAACGGCCTTACAACAGCTAATAACTCCTGCACTCTCCCTCTGCTAGCGGATTTATTTCCAGGCTTTTCATCTTGATGGATAATTCCCCAACATATCAGTGCTGAACAAAAAATATAGTGGATTTTACATTGCAGATCTTACAGGAAAGCACACACTGTCAGGAAGCCCCTCAGAACCCCCGGCTGTGCACAGCCTCCTCCCACCGTCCCGGCCGCGTCCCGCAGCAGTGCTGAGTCCTCTCTCCCCAGGCTCTTCAGCTGCGCCGTCCCGGCCGCCTCGAGGTCCCGAGTGGACCCAAAACGGTGACCTTTCCCGTCCTCCCGACCTCGGGGAGGAGCCGGGAGTCACGCGGTGCCGGACGCGGGGACTCTTTTTTCCGGGAGGCTGAGGCAGGAGAATCCCACGTTGGAGCCCACCCATTTCACGGCGACCTATTCGTGAACAGGGCCGGTGAAGACCCCGGGGAGAGAGGAGGCCGGAGCCGCTGCAGGACGCGGCCGGGACGGCGGGAGGAGGAGGCTGTGCACGGCCGGGGGACCTTTGCGAGGCAGGTTTATGCAATGTGTGCTCGGACTCTAAAAAATCCTTCTAAAGCAGCCCTGTGCACGTACCTATTGCTGTCGCTTCCAGACAGACTTTCATCCCCCCGCGCTGACGGGGAAACCCCGGGCTGGAAAAGGCAGGAGGCAGCCAAAGCTCACGGAATTCAACACAGCAAAGCATCAAGCTTTGGAAGCCACAAGCTGAGATTCAGCGTTTCCGGTGCCTTTAGGAGCTGTCGGTCAGCAGACGCATGAGCTCCGCTGTTTCTTTTTTTTTAAGACAGCACAGTTTCCCGTCAGCGAGTCACAGAAAGGGCCCAGCTCACCGTTGCCCTTGAAGCACCACTTCTTTTTCTGGTACGCGATGAAGCTAGAAATCGCTCCCGCCACGGCCACCACGACGGCCCCGATGATGCCAGGAATCACGCCTTGGGGCTGCTCTGGAAGAAGCACAGGGTGCGGGGTGCGGGTCAGGACAGATCGGGGGATTTCGGGCAGGGCTAAGACAGCCCGAGTGTCCCCGCCCTGGGCAAAGGCTCCCCGTCTCCCTGCTGGACAGGGCCCGCGGAGGGTTGTGTGCACTTTTCCCTGGTGTCTTGGGCAGCACCAGGCATGCCCGGCTTCTTATTTTACAGTTTGTAAAAGGAATTCTTTTAAGCGCTCTTCTCTTGTGCCTCAGAAGAAGAGAAAGGACCCGTGTGATACAGGAACAAAAGGACCGACGTGCTCCAAGTTCTCACAGAAAGTGGCCTGACACGGAGACCACAGCTCGTGACAACTCACACAAGAACCGAAGAATGTGGCTTCGATGTGCATCCACCTAGCTATAAATGACCGCGATTTCTCATTCTTTATGGCTGCGTAGTACTCCACTTTAGAGAGGAAAACCACATCTCCTTTATCCAGTCTCCAGCTGATGGGTGATCGGGCTGTTTCCCAGTTTTAGCTATTAAGAACTGTGCCCTATAGACATGGGTGAACGCACATCGCTGTGGTGGGATTCTTTTCATTCTTTTGGGATGATACCCAGCAGAGGGACGGCTGGGTCAAATGGGACCTCTACTCCCAGCTCTCCGAGGCGTCTCCATATTGATTTTCAGATGATAGATTAAGTGAAATTGGAAGAAAAGCTCCACAGGGGAAGGGGAGGTGGGAGGGTTAGGGGCGAGGAACGAAGGCAACGGAGTTAATGTGAGAGACGGAAACAATGGAGACAAAGCCTTTGTCAATGGGGAGGGTGGACGGGGTGGGAGAGGGCAGGGACGGGGCAAAAATGAGAACCGAGACATTATGTGGAGGCACAAGATCCTGCTCACGAGTGTAACCGTACTGTGTACCTAACATGCGCCGATAAACTGAATTCTAAACAAAATTCACAAGGATAAAATATAAATTCATAGAACATGGCCACATCGTAAGCAAGAGCAGCAACCAAAAGAACCGGAAGAGAGGACTTGGGGGCTCCCGACACAGAGATCACAAACACTCGGGGCAAAGGACTCGCGACTTTCCCCAAAGCGGCCACCACTCGGCTCGCGCGGGGACTGAACTATCCCTCGGCGCCCCGGGGAGCGCAGGGACCCCACACGCTGCGGAGGGCTTTCGCCCCGACATCCGGACCCAGCGGACTCCACAGCGCGGTTGCCCGAGTCCAGTCCCATCTCTCCCTCAACAGCGCACAGGACGGAGGCGCAGAAACACAGCCGGCCCCGCCACCCTCAGCCCCCGCGTCCTACCTTCTGGGCTCTCTCCCTCCTTCCGGGGGCGCCCGCCACCTTGTCCGTCTCTGTTTCCTGCAAGACAAGAAGACCGCGCCCGTTGACCAGCGGCCCCGGGAGATTTCTGGGGGTAAAGATCAACTCCGAGGCCAGGACGTGCGTCAAGCCCCGTCCACGGGAGGATGGGCAGGGAGCGCGAGAAGCCATCCCGTCTCCAGGGACCGGCCACGCGGCCGGGGTCTTCCGTGCGCCCCTGGCTCCCCTGTCGCTGGTCCCCGGCCCGAGGTGTCCTGGACC